GGTTAAAGCGAGATCTGTTTTCTCCTGGTAAAATCTTAGGCTCGCTGTCGAATTCTGCTGTTGCTTCTCAGCTTTATTTAAACTTTCTTTCAAGTTCTCAATGTCGTGGCTGGCGGTTGTTTGCGAATATTCCAGCTTCTGTATTCTTCCTTCCAATTTTTGAAGGGACGTTTGGACATCATTTACTGTTGTTTGGATAGCGTCTAGCTTTTCCAGCTTTCGATTTATCTCCTCCAAAGCTTTATGAAAGCCTTCGGCCATGTTCAAAACCGTAAAGATTTCGTCTTCAACCTCGTGCTCCTCGACTTCTTCAGGAGAGTTTACTTCATCACTCCTCGCTTTTTTTGCTTCTGGTGAAGTGCTCGACTCCTCTGAAGAGGAACGCTCGCTTCTTTTCCGTTCCAAGATCTTTTTCAACAGTACTTCCATTTACCACCCGGGAAAAAAAGAATATGTGGCGGACGGATCAAGGACACGTCTTACGCCATTGCTGCCCAGGCCCCTCATTTACTGTTGCCAACGATTACAATTTTGGCGCGCAATGACCGAATGGCTGCGGTCGTCGCTTTTTCTTGCCGACAAATAAAACTTTTGAAGGCATTTGCTTAGCTCTTGCGGGGAAATTTCTTCAAAAGGAGTTGTGAATCCTTTTTCTATTTAGGGACTGGTCAAAAAGTATAGGGGGGGTGGTCCGGGGCATTTGGAAATGTGGTTGATAAAAAACACATGACCCACCCCCTCCGTTCGGCACAAAAATGACTGACCCACCCCTAAAGCAAGGCTGGAAATTGCATGACCCACTCCCTAGTTAAAACACGGATGTTCGGTTTCCTCTTAATAATCCAATAAAACCTTGTTCTGTGCTTGACAAAATTTGTTGATACACTGCTACAACCAATATCAAAATCACAGAAATCATACCTTTCACTGAAAAGACGAATGTGAAAAACCGAACATTTCTTGTTTCAATGGACGTTTAAATAGGAGTCTTGACACAAATATACAGCAAAACGAGGGTATATTGAAATTTTCTGTCACAAAGCATATGAAAATTTCAACAAAGACAACCCATTCCTACATATTACTTGCCGGAAATGCTTAGATTAATCCTCAAAGAAAATTTCTTCCACTTCAGTGGAAAGCACTACCTACAAAACCATGGACCTGCAATGGGCACAAAGACAGCAGTTTTGATTCCTTTGCCAATGTTTTCATGACATATATTGAAACAACAACTCTAAGCAAAACTGTCTTTAGAACAACAGTTTGGAAATGCCACATACACGATATCGTTTCCCTATGGGACATGAGTAAACCAGACATCGACGCCTTCATTAAACAAGCAAGCTTACATCACCCAACTAACGAATTCACGGCCGAAACATTTGACACTGAGACTGCGTTTTTAGACACGGTTGTATACAAAGGCACAAGATTCAAGGAAAAATCTATCCTTGATGCAAAGACACATTTTAAACAAATGGAAAGCTTCTTGCACACACATTTCACCTTGTGTCACGGTATAATTTGATCTATTTTTTGATCCCTATAATTTTCGTATCACTAGACTTTCAGCTAGGAGATCCGAACAGATGGAAAATTTTTAGGGGATAAAAATATGCCTATATCTACTGTTTAAATTGGTTTTGAAGTATATTCTCGTTGGGTGCCCCCTATCTTTCATAGAAAACCTACTATCAGAAAGAAAATTCACAAAAGGGAGTCTAAACTCCTAAAACAACAAGGAGGAAAAAGAAATATTGCCTTTCGTGACACAACACCAGCCCTCAGTGTCTACTATAAAGGAAGCTTGAATGAAAAAATGGAATCTTATACAAAACCAACTATAACTTCAATAAATTTTTTAAGAACCACCAATCATTTCCTTACAAAAAAGAAGAAAAACGGTTCACAGAGGGTTCCACGCCCGTATAGATGTGCGGCCTGTCAACCTTTGTATTTTCTCGCACAACAGGTTTGTGAGTATTTTTAGCCATAATTCCAGTTGGCTGTGTTTTATATAACAAGTGTAGTCAACTGTCTCGTTAATAGTCAGTAAAAAAATAGGGTGACCCACCCCCTAAGGGTAGCTGAAAATTGTACGACCCACCCCTTGCACAAGGCTCAAAACCTCATGACCCACCCCCTCTCTGCTCCGGCCCACCCCCCTCTATACTTTTTGACCAGTCCCTTAAAAGCACTCTGTAAAAAAGGTTATTATATTTAGTTTTAAGCTTATTTATAAACAAGTCAACTTAATAAAGTAACGCAAGACTAATAAGCTTAATTTGCATTTGTAAACAAAAAACTTTTTCACCGGTTTTATCGATAAATTCAAGTCAAAAAGACAAAGCTTTACCTGTTAAAACTTCCAAAACGACCTTCGTCTCCTTCTTTGTGTATTTCGGGAACAGCTTGCTTTATTAGTTGTGAAATTTCTTTGTTTATTACGGCAGCAAACCGGGAAGGCATTTTGCTCGCAACTTTACGCGAGTTTGGCGTCGCGCGCTCGGAGGAACTGGAGGTGAATCAGTGAATAGTGCAGGATATTCACTGATTGAGCAGCCAATCAGAGCGCGCGAAAAACACTATCCTCTATTTTAGTATATACTAAAGCTCTTTATCCACTCTTGGTTTAGATTGGCAAAACAGCAACTTTTGCACTTGCATCACGCTTTCTTGAACGAGATGGAAAAGGCGCGAAAAATATTTAAGCAGTACGAGTTCTTTTTTTAAGGTCGCCCGAACCTATTATATGCGCGTTGGTTATGTTTTAAGATCGCGTTTTTCGGCAGGAAAGACTTAACTGATTTCTAAGAGTTTTGGCATCCTTAATAAGGAATTCTCGAACTTTAAGAAACTGTTATTTATTTTCGTGCAGGTATAAAAACGTTTGAGATATCAGCATAAGTTTAAAACCGCATTTTTACAAAAAAATGTCGATAACTTCGAAACCCTAAGACAGATTTTTCTCTAACTTCAGCAAATAAGCCTCAGAGCTCTCTAGTCTTATGACTGTAAGTTTGAAGTCAGTCGTGAACGTAGAACTCGCTGCACAAATAGCTTGTCAAATTTAACCTTAAAATGCAACGCTAACACATTTGTGAAAGTTGACACGCAAATAGAGGAAAACTGCCGACAGGCTATCTCCTATCTGCAAGGGTATTCTTGCCCAAAGCTTTAGTTGCAAGAAACTGGCTAATCAGAAACCTACGGCGAATACAGTTCGCAATGCAAGAAGAACAACCTTATGCCAAATGCGGGCAAGATGAACGAACATCTACTTATCAAAGTTACTGTGTATCTGCCCTTCTCTTTTCGAAAAAAATCTCAACAAAGCAAGATATAACATCTACGGAAATCTCCTACCAGTTTTTAGCACCGAAGGTTCCCGTCTTAAGGAGAAATAAAGCCACCAATCCCAGTTCTTCAACCGATCCAATTTCAGCTGCAACTAAAACTCTTGGATTAGGTAATTTATTCAAGCGTGAAAGATTTGCCATCACATTCGCATGGCCAGTTTGCCACTGGGGATAATGAAAAGAATAAGACGATCTTTATCCCCAAGCGGCAAACTCCGCGCGAATGCAACACAAGAAGTCTAAAAAGCTTGAATAAATTACCAAGTACAAGGGCTTTTCAGCAGTGCAGCTGAAAAATGGACGGTTAGAAGTACTGGAGTTGGTGGCTTTATTTCTCCTCAAAACGGAAACCTGGGACGCTAAAAACTCTCGAGAGTTTTTCGTAGATGCTATATTTTGCCTTCTTAAGATAGGTTTCGAAAAGAGAGGGACAGATACAAAGTAAGTTTGATGAATGGAAGTTTTTTAATCTTGCCCTGCATTCAGCTTAAAGTTGTCCTTCTTGTATTGCGAACTGTATTTGCCGTAGGTTTCTGATTAGCCAGTTTCTTTTAACTGAAGCTTTGGGCAAGAATAACATTGCAGATAGGAGATAGTCCGTCGGCAGTTTTTCTCTACTTGTGCGTCAACGTTCACAAATGTGTTAGCGTTGCATTTTAAGGTTAAATTTGACCAACTACTTGTGCAGCGAGTTCTACGGTCACGATTTACTTCAGACTTGCAGATATAAAGCTAGAGAGCTCTGAGACTTGTTGCTAAAGTTAGAGAAAAATCTGTCCTAGGATTTCGAAAGTATTGACATTTTTTTGTAAAAATACGGTTTTAAACATATCCCGATATCTCAAACGTTTTCATGTCTACGAGAAAATAAATAACAGTTTCCTAACGTTCAACCATTCTTTATTAAGGATGCCAAGAATCATAGAAATCGGTTAAATCTTTCCTGCTGAAAAACGCGTTTCAAAAACATAACCAACGCGCATATAAATAGGTTCGGGCCACCTTAAGTGACGTTTTCCTAACCGTCGCCGTCGTCGGTTGCTTAGGGTCCCTAATATTTGTTATTTAATGCTAGAGTTTTCGAATGGCTGTATCTCGTTTAATATGCACCCGATAAACACCTAACTTAAGAATGACTATGTGGGTCTTAACTTGTTTATTCCATAATAAACGTTCTCGACCCAGCCACTCTCGGTTTGAAATTAGGCAATAACCTATAATTGTTTAATAGGCAAATCTTTCGTTACATTTTTTTACCTCAGTTAGCATATGCCTCCCATTCTATGATCAAGCTTTTGAAATAAACCCTCTGAATATGGAAAGAGCATCACAATTTCAGTTATCTACGACGGAAAAAAAAAGCCAGATACACCGAATAGTTTCGGAGAAATTATCTTTGAAAACGTAGAAACCTTACAAAGAATATATGGGCTCATTAAGGTTTTGTCACCCAGCAATATCGTAGTTATTTCCTTTCTTATTGCTTGCAAAGAGCGGAATATTGCTCAAATTAACCAACTCTCTCAACGGTTGGATTTAATTTGTGCATGCCGTGACACCTTCTATGGGTTACTTCGTATGCTAATGAGCAAAAATGTATACTATGACGTCAGCAAAGATTCCAAAAGAGCAGATGTGCCTACCCAACTGTTGACATGGTAACAAAAGCCCACCAGAAGCCGTCAAATATCCCGCGATAAAACGGCTTGCCAAACTCCTCGTTATTGGTCTTCGTTTCCTGTTTGAATTTAACAAGACAAGTCCTCCTCGATCAGTCGGCTAAGATTAACTTGCATAAACTGAGTAATGTTATGGTGGCGAACGGTATTAAAGCTTGTTCATTTGTGACTTTTTTTGCTATACACCAGGAGCCTATTATGGACGTATTTTGCATATTTCCCCCGGATGAGTACATTATTATGAAACGTAAGAATTAACTAAGAGCGTTCAAGTTACTATTTTCCCTAAGCTAAATTCAAAAAATTCCCTAGAATTTTCTATAGCTTGGGGAAAGCTAAAACTTTTTAGATGACCGTTTCATTCATGTACAATTTTCGACGCTTATCTAATGAATTCCCTACGATTTTCTGAAGTTAAATTTTTCCCATTTCACTCCCCAGGTTAAGCTATTTTTCGTAGGGAAAGGAAACCTTAAATTTTCGGAATCGAAAATGCGACGCAGAGAGGAATCAGAAGAATTCTCAATTTCGTAAAACTTTAAATTGCAACTAAAATGTTGAGAAAAATAATACTGAAGCCCTTGCAATTTCGATAAGACTCAAGTTGCCCTAGGATGACCGAACGGATATAAATTTTTTAGAGTCACTTAGAATGCATTTTTAGAGATCTAAAAGTACTCTGGATAGCCTAAAAAGTGTTTTCAATGCATTTAAGAGGAAACCGTCGTTGGGTGTCCATGGTTTTTGGTGCCCACGTATTTCTATATTTTTTTAGATCTACGCATTTCCGTTTGTTTTTCCACTTATTATTTTCTTTTTTTTTGGGGGGGGGGTATGTTCTAGGGGGGGGGGGCTAGCCACCCAATCCCCCCTTCCCTCTGGATCCGCCCCTGGGTGTTACAATTCTCCTTCTTCCAAATTATGTTTTGTACTTACCATCATCCAGACAAATATCCCTGCTACAAACGACAGCAGAATTGTCAAGGCAACGATGGGGAGACAGCTGCTAATGGCATTCCAAATTTCCCTATTCCTGATCCATGATGAATGATCACATGTGAGATTAGATCTTCGGATGAGGACGACTCCAGGAGAATCCAAAATTTTGATGAAAGGCAGGATCATTTTGTACGTTTTGTCCTCATCGCTTTGCACAGGAAGAATAAGATGGACGCTATCATTAAGGAGAAGGTCGTGAAGTTGAGATCTGTTTAGTGCTTGTGTTTTGAAATTTATCCTTGTTTTGGTTCCTGCATTAAGTATGGCGCAACACTTGTTCAAAGCCAGATCAAAAACGTAGTGAAACATTCCTCGCACTTCACTTGCATTTTCACTAGAATTTGTCGTGAACGGTGGTCTTAACAGCCATGATGCGTTAAGCTCTCTTGGGCACACGGGTTTGGCGCGCGGCGTTGGAGGCTGTGAGCCATAGGACCGTACTAGCATTCGATCTACAAAACTGATCGAGTCTTGCGAAAAAATGGAACAGACCATAGTTGTCACAAACAACAAAACAAATGGAAGCATCATCTAGCAAAGCAAAACTGGATGCAGCAATGATCGTTAATGTGCAATGATCTGCCAAGGAGAAGCTAGTTAGCTTTTTAAACTGCTTGGTTAATTTATTTGAGAAGATATTTTCTTTTCTTGCTGCTGACGTAATGAAAGCATACGAACTCATTTGGGTCTTTTAGATGCAAATACCTAATCACCTCATACCGAGTACAAATTGACTTGTTTTGCAAACTGTTTTCACGCTACTGGTTAAAATTATGGAATTAACTTAAGCCAGGTGCTTAAATGAAGCTTTTATGGTCTCAGGAAGAAGGCCATTATATGTTTATAATATATATATGTGTATATAAAATATATTATATGTTTAGATTATATGTTTTTCATAGAGTTAATAAAGAAGACATCTGCATGCAAGTTTGTTTAATTCATCTAACTTATCTCGTCAAATGTTCGAACATTTATACAGGAACTTTTTTTAAGTACTTCCTTTGCTGAAATGTGCTTTCATTAACAAGAAATTTTATCTATGAAAGCAGACGTATTGCAGCTGAAATACATCTCACGGAGATGTTGATTTTCTGACGGATTAGAAGAGTCACTCAGTCCCTCCCTCAGTCGTCTTCGCTTGAGGCAATAGAAAAAAAAGGCAACGACTTTAAGGGGGCTTGTCCTTATTTAGAAAGAGCGAGGGCATGTTCAAATTCCCTTTACACTCTCCTTTTGTGGGAAAAAAAAGCAATAAATGTCATACCAGAACTCTTCGCAATTTGAATTTGCAATAACGTTAGTACTATTAGAAAAGTGAAAAAAGTAAAAATTAGGCTTACTAATACATGAAACCACTATAGGGTGCATTTGCTCGCAGCATAGGCGTCGTTGAGGAGTAAAAAACAACAGCAAATGAGACAGCTGTACCCTTATGTTGCAAATGGATGCGGCCTTTAGTGGTTTATTAGTAAAATTTATTCATGTTTGGCCTTTTACATTTTCATCTTTTCTTTTTTACATTTTACTTTGACGTTATTGCAGTTAGGTGAATTGAACCATTCAAAAGAAGAAAAGCAAGTACCTGCGTGTGTCACTGAACTTATAGACCCATAGAAGACTAAAAATTGCTGAGCAAGAATCTGAATAAGACTCGGTATTAGACAGGGCGTAAGGAGTTAGGGCGTTGAAACGAGCGGGGGTTGAGCGATCTAGCTGTAATGCAAGGGTCTGGGTACTACCAAAGAGACAAAAGACCGTCAGAGAGATTATCCAGCGAACGTCAGCCATTATCCCTTGGCATTCATTTGCTACAATCAATAGCGAAGGTACAAATTATATTTTCTCACGTTCGTTTTCTGTTTTCTTTCCCCTCGAACAAATATCTGTATTGAATATATTTTCCACCTCCGTGACCTGCAAATTTCTTGACTTGGTAAGAAAATGGCATCACAACCCAGATGATACCACTGACATTTTATTTTTTATTTTTTTAACAAATAAGTCGCTCTAATATTTTATTAGTTTTATTACTATTAGTCCTGATTGTAAAGCGCTTTGGATCACTAAGAGAAAGGCGCTATATAAATGTATATTATTATTATTATTAGACTAACATTATCGGTTCTTCTCTTCAGTTTAATATCAAGTTGTGTAATTCATCATCTGCTAAGGCACTTTTTTTGCTGCACAGTTTCAAGGCCAGATGATCTGGTTTCACTATATTAAAATTTGGATTTGTGGTGTACCTTATTGAGCTATCTCCAATATTAAGCATCACACTTGGGCAGTTTGTGAAATCTAAATTCCTGGTAAATTTAAAATATCATAAAATTATCATCATTTTTTTTCTTACATACTAATACTACTGTGCAATGAAGAATACGTATGTGAAAAAAAATAAAATTCACTGCCCTTGAAAAACTAAACAAAGAGGTTGCAGAACACAAATAACTAGCCCAGCAAATATTTTTGTTGGTAATAACAGCTTTTTGTAATGAAATGGTCGCTGAAAACTACCCATGCAAGACAGACTAAGGAACTAAGAAGAAACTAAATATTCACTAGTCTTACGTTGAAACCAGACATTGCTAGAAGACAAATCTTACAGATGCAGCATAAAATATGTACAACATACAAATTGACCACTCCAGAAAATACCATAACATACCATAATGCTCTTTGTTTGTCACCCCCAAATTTTGTGTAAGCATTATTTTCAGTTTCTCTTGGGGCCATTTTCACTCCCAAGGAAAAAAGACAATTCTTATGCAAAATTTTGGGGTGACAAACAAAGAGCATTATGGAATGTTATGGTATTTTCTGGAGTGGTTAATTCACAAGTATATCGCAAACAAGAAATACAGAATTATGCACAAATGAAATAGAAATGACCTGTAGCAGCTATTAAACCATTGAAAAACAAACTTGTTAGTGTGACCAGTAACCCTAGCACACTTGTATAATTCATGTCCAGTATGATTAAATTATATTCCTGGTTAAATTTATTAACTACAGCCAGGCTTAATCAAATTTGATTCAAAAAATACTTTCCTGTTTCCTTGTATCTACTTTATATAATATTAAGAGAGAGGAAATATTGCTAGAAATATTGTAACCATAAGTGATATAAATGTATAAAGTAGTACATTCAAAAGATAAGGCACCTCCAGGAAATCGAGTTGATCCCCACTATTCTTGACATTCTTCGTTCATTTTCTTTTACTCTCTATAAGAGTTATACCTGTCCATTGATACAGACATCTTGTGCCAGTCCTAGTGGTGTCCATCTGAGAAAATTGACTGTAGTTGTGCAACACCACCAGCTGATCACACTTAAGCTTCTGAAGACAAAAAATACAATTCTACTCAGTCTTAATTTATTCTACTTGCAATCAAATAGCGCTTTGTACTATTACCAAAAATAGGTTTTGTCAACTTAGACCCCCCACGTGACTCAGACAAACTTTGAATTCTACTCAAAGGCTTTGTATGCCAACATGAGTTTCCCACATAAAAATTGTCCATAAAATTCGCAGTGAGCGTTTTTAAAATGTTTTTTCAGCTTTATTCCAATATATAAAAGGCACTACTGCTATAGGGAGCAAAACCTGGCCCAAGTAACTAAAATAAATGGTTAAAATCAGAAAATAAAGCGACTTTATCAAAGAAGGCTACTGAAATCGAATCCCTGGCTCTGTCTTAGTCAGATAGCGCTCTATGCACCAAAACATAACATGGTTGTGTAATACCCCAAAACCGAAATTGCTAAACAGAAAATCGAGTTTCTATGTGCTTCTTGCAAGCCTAAGAAAGAATATCTATTAAGCTGAGAAGCACACCAACATTAGCACAAACCGGAAATTTATAACTTTGTTCTGTTGTTGTGCGGCCAGGTAGATACCATACGAATCCGGGACGATACAGTAATTTGTATCCTGTAGTACCATAGTTAATTGAGTGGAATGGTTATGAAACCCGTCAGACTCCTTTGTTATATGTTTTTGTGGACCTGAAAGTGCACAACGTTCAAAAGAATTCCTATCATTTTGATTGTATTGACCAATAAAAACGTTGCATTAATTTATTCCGTAACAATTTGCCAACAGAAAACAAAGGATTGTGCACTTTCACGGTGCTTTGAACACAAACTGCAGCACTGTTGTTTTTATCATTGATGTTTGCCGCTTTTCATAACCAGTCTCCTCTAATAACTATGGTAGTACTTAGTAGCGTAACTCAAGCACTCGTCCAGAAAAATTGAGAATCCTTTTCCTATAAATTTAACCTAATTATTCACCGTTTCATGAACAGTTTTCAAGCCCTGCTCTCCATACATTTCTAAGTAAAATACCGTAACATAATTTTACCCACAGTAATGACCCCGCATAAAAAATAAAATCACTCACTCATCTGTACAGTTTTTTCCATGTTTAACGTTGTCATGGCACGCATTGATTATTTTCAAGATATATATTATCGAAACCAAGCTGGATTTTGTTTCTGTTAACGATAAAAATCTTCAAAGAGGACGGCGGCGACTTTTTCGAACGTGACTTTCTCATACAAAACTCTTTACTGGTCAGGTTCAATGATTGAGTCGCATTTGTGACGTCAAAGGTGCAAAGCGCTAGTAAGACCTCTTCATGTTCTTCTTCATATCATGCACTCGTTTATCTTTCATTAGTATATACACACTCAGTGATCTTGGTAATTCAAGCAATCTGATTGGTTAGCTATCTCGGACTATGACGTTATATTCACCGCTCTAGGCAGTGAATATAAAGCCGAACAAAATCGCTGTCGTGAGCTGGGTGTTTTGCCAAAGTTTCAAAGTAAAACCTTTTTGAAATACACGAATATCCAAGTGCTGATGACTTTGAAGGCAAGAAAAGACTTCATGGTGTCTAAACAGCGTGATTTATTGTGAAGTGGTTTACTTTAGCTGACTTTTTGTACCCTCGAAGCAATTTTTACCACTACAGAGGAAAACGAGGTCGCTTTGTCACTGTTTTGTGATTTCGGGATTTTCTCGCAAGACCAATTTTGCCTATAAATAGAAGTTAATTTATGGAGAAAAGAGGAAGGCAAATATTTTCGAAAATTGTACGTGCCAGCAAGTTAACAAGGTAACGAACTTTGGACATAAACAACGCTCACCTTGATCGCAGCCGCTGTTAACAGCATTTGCAAGAAGCGACAAAGAAAACTTTCTCATTCACGGTGAGTTGACAGAAACAAATAAAGCTCTACTTTTCTTCTCAGAATTGGGTAGTAATTTTCTTTTAAACCGTTAATGATAAAGCTTACAAAACTCGATACAAAAGGATTAAAACCATCATTTGCCATGTTTGAAGATACTGTAAAGATCTAACTTTTGCGCATCCACTGTTTACGGCTTGATGTTCACGCATGAATTTTGACCCGTCAATCAAACTAATCGTTTTTTAATGATTTCCTTTCCGATTCTGTTGAGATCACTTCGTGTGAATATACTAAAACAATTATTCACCTCAGGCTCAGTTAAT